GCAAAGTAAATTTTGACTCAGAAAAGTAAGGGTTGTTTGATCCAGCCACAATATTTCCAGCCTCATTGGATACTGGGTATCTGCCCGTGGACTGGTGTTTCGCAAATGTTACTCTACTGCACAAAAAGGATCAGATAGATAATCCCGGGAACAACAGGCCATTCAGCCCAAATTCAGTAGCATGGAAAATTCTAGAGAATGCAATCCAAGTCAAATCATATTATCACTAAGAATACTATGGTTTGATGTAAGAAAGGGCAACACATAATTGATGAAGGCAAAACGTGTCGCACAAATCTGCTGGAGAATTTTGGTGGATGAACATAGTGCAGTTTATGTAGTTCATGTGGGTTTCAAACATGGATTCAGACCGGTCTAGGAGAAGGAAAGGAGAGAATGCTGGTGAACGGTTGTTTTTCTGACTGGAGCGAAAAGTACAATAGTTTCCCCTCGGGATCAGTATTGGGATCACTGCTGTTTCTAATCTACTAAAATAACCTGGACTTGTTCACAGGCTCTACATTTTCCAAGATTGCAGATCATACTAAGCAAAGAAAAGTTGGAAACTGTAAGTTGGACAGTGTCAGACTGCAGATGGACATAGTCAGACTGGTAAAACGTACAGAGAGGTGGAAGATGAAGTTTAACTTAGAGAAATGCGAAGTGATGCATTTTGAGAGGTAGAATTCTGAGGAGAGGCTATATAAGCTGATGGTACAATCTGAAAGTGAGAGGAGGAAGGGAAGCCCGAGGATTCAGATAAACACATATGTGAAGGCGGTAGGACAGGTAGAAAACTATTTCAAAAAAGATTACTAGATTCCAAGCTTGATCAACGGCGGCACATAATACAAACGTCAGGAATATATGACGTACTGAGATATTGGTTAAGCCTCAGCTATTGTAATGTTTTCGGTTCTCGGCACCAAACATAAGGAAGGATGTCAAGGCATTGTACAGGATGCAAATGAGATTGACCAGGATGGTACCGAGAAAGAGCAACTTCAGTTATCAGGACAGGCTATGGAAGCATTAATCTCCCTGGAGCAAAGAAGTTTAAGAGCAGAGTTATTAGAAGTATTCCCAATTTTAAGGGGGTTCGACAGAGTAAACAAGGAGAAAATATTGCCACTGGCTTGTCGGTCGGTAACCCAAGGGCACAATTTAAAATAGTTGCTGAAAGAAACAGATGGGAGATGATGAAATTTCTTTTCAAGCAGAAAGTTGTTTCGATCTGGAATGCATTGCGTGAAAGGGTGTTGGAAGCCGATTCAATCAAAACCTATTACGTGGGTGTGGGGATAGGGCGTGGGGGTGGTGGGGTTGTGTGTTGGGTGGGGGGTGGGGTGTGGGCACGTTTCCTGAGCTATTGAGAGAGTGCGGGTGAGGAGAGTTGGTTTGGATATCCGCTTTCAGATAGACGGCAAAGACACGATGGTCCGAATGGTCTCCTTCTGTTCTGTGTACTTCTGTGATCCTATTATTCTCCCAATGGCAAAATCCAGTCCCGAGCACCAACTGAACTGATCCTAACTGAAAAACTGGCCGTTAGATAGGAGGTTTCGTTCATGAAGCTTCCATGTTAATTAATCAAACACTTTTTTAAAAAAATCTGCCTTTTAATTACTTTCAATTATATAATTTGTTGCACAGATACAGCACAGGCTTCAGATCATAAATTATGTGATTCTTTTTCATAAAAACTGTGCATTATCATACTTTTAACAGCTGCAAGCAGTGGAAGAAACTGTGTTCAACATAAAATCACTCTGCTGTATTTAGTCATTATATTATGGCTCAGTTTCTTTTGAGATAACAGGCGGAGCTCGAAGATGTCTATCCCACAATATTAAGGAGAACACTAAATGTTATATCAACGTGTACAAGCAGAAGGAATTCAATATATCAGCAGAATGGGCAGATCGGTGGAAGCTGAAGCTGAATCAAGCAAAATGGAAGATTATACATTTGGGCAGAAAAGATGAGCGAAGGTTATACATACTGACTGGCAGTATCTTGCGAGTAGCAGAGGAGCAAAGGCACATTAGTGGTGGCTTTATCTCTGTAACTGGAAGTGGCAAGCAGCATATCCTTCCGATTGTTGGATGTCGAAATATCTGTGGAAAGCTGAGAGTATTCTTGGTTCTATAGGTAGAATCATAGATACAAATTTCAGTTTCCAATGGCATATTTTTGCATATCATTGATTACATTGCAACTGCCGCACTGTGTTCAGATTTCTCGTATTAGAAAAGATTATAAGGTATTGGAATGGATGCAAAGGAGATGTACAAGAATGGTGTCAGTGAAGAGGGCCAGTTCATAAATATCTGATTAGGTTTTGCCTAATATGTGGGGGTCATTTGTCTGATTAGTCCAGAGCAGAAAAAAATAGGTTGTGTGATTGAGATCGGCTGCAGATTAGCCAGAAACTACTTCAACGCCTCTCACTGAGAGAACTGACTGGCAAGCATCCAGATGCCTGTGCTTGTCGCGTCACATAACATACACAGAAAATGTGAAACTGAGTACATGATCGGAGAGAAAATATAGCAAGAATATATATCGATTGCTTCGTATGTGCTGATGAACTCGGCTGTTAGATGCAGAAGAGGGCAACTTGAACGATTTAGGGAACAGCGGTACTGGAATGGGAGAAGGGACTAAGTAATCATGTTTACACTGGAAGAAGAACAAAACGATTGCTGTCCTTAAGATTCTAACATGGCCAGATAACACAGATCATTACAGGCTGTCTCAACTTGTCCAGAATAGCAAAACCCGAGGACACGGCCTGCAAATGAAGGGGGTAAATTCAGTACGATTCTCCGAAAATATTATTTCAGTGAGCGATTAGTGAACACGTGGAACAGACTCCCATGGGAGATGGTTGCAGCAGCAAGTGTTGATTCTTTCAAGCACACACTAGAGAGATTTTATTCGGAATATAACAAAATGAAATATAGTACATAGATTGTTCGGGGCATATGTGCACTTCACCGCCAGAGAGTTGGACGAACTGGATGCACCTTTTTTTCTCGTGAAGCGTATCTACTGGTCAAAGGCACTTTGTTTTTTCACGTCAAAAGAATATCCGAATGCTTCACATGATGTCGTTGTGCATCTGTAAGGAAACACGTCTGTGCAGTTGCACAGCAATATCCCAAAAGCAGACAAAATACTGTGTTGAAATAATTTTGAAATTCTATGGAATATATTTATCTGTGACAAATGATTCACTTTGATCTTGTTAAACTCGGACAGAATCTAAGATGCACCTGAGCAACTACTCTGGGGACCCAAAGCATTTCTTCTAGCAAACCTGTGCCTTATACTCTCCGGTATTAATTAAAAGGATTGTGAGTTTGCAGGGAGAGAATGAGCATTCAATTACAGAAACTGTCTGATTTCAATTTGTAATATATATATATGGATCTTTGTCAGATGTTTTAAAATCAACAGCAAATTAAACTTATACAGTGGCCTCCACTCGTGATACAGTATCAGTTATTGAAAGTGGGGTTATAAGAATATGCATCAATCAAACAAACAGTCAATCAAAATTCATTCAGCTTTATTGCTCAGTTCTCTGGGAATGTGGATCAAGAATCAATAGATAGCAGTTCATAAAAAAAATCGGTATTCAGGGTTGATGAGCCATTCGGACGTAATGCATTCTGGTTTACTGAAACAAGTAAGGGTGGAAATAACGGAGTCTCTGAGCAAAATCTCTCAATTTTCTTTGGACACCAGTGTGCTGCCAGAGGACGGATGTGATGCAACTGATAGTCCCCAGTCCATAAACTGGCAGAAGGATTAACCCGGTAACTGGAGGCCAGTCATAAGCTCTTCAGTTGTTGGGCAACTTCCAGAAATGACAATCTTCCAGAGACAAAATACATATTCACATAGAAATATATGGTTTAATAAAGAACAGCCAACAGGTTCTAACAAAGCGGATATATTATTTATGAAGTAACGAAGAGGGTGGAGGAAGATTATACAGATCGTGCAGTTTACATAGAATTTAAAATGGCTTATAGTAAAGTGCTATATAAGACACTTGTAACAGAACAGAAGACCACGATTTTAAAGGGACGGTGGCAGCATGGAAAGAGAATTGTCTCGGTAGCGAAAGCAGAGAGTGGTGGTGAACGGTTGTTTTTCTCTGTAGAGGGAATTCTGCAATGCTGTCCCCCAGTGATGTGTATTGGGACCACTGCTGTTTTTGATCCCTGAATATCAAATTTCTATTGGAGTAAGACAACGTTAACGAATAGTATATCTTTGGAAAATGCACCCTAGGGAGTCAGAAGCTTGAAGCAGGGAGTGTTGTTTCTTTGAAATACGGATCACATAGTTTTCTCTTATGAAATAACATTACGTGATTCAGCACACAGTGAGATTGCGCAAAAGGTTCATCCACTGTCTCATAGTTTGGGACAATGTTGGTTTCACTCTCACTGGGTAAAAACAATTCTTTTTGGTGGATATTGTGCCAGGACAAGACCAACGCTTTCTTTATATCCAACCCACGGGCCTAGTAACGAAACCCGTCTTATAACATTGACCTCAGCCACCATTCATGCTCTCTGATCAGAACCCACAACCACAGTCATTTACTCAACATGTAACTGGTCTGACTCAGACACAGGCTCACCCTGACCACTACACGTGTTAGATTTCATTCCAGCTTTCTGTTGTTCAACACGTCACCTTAACGCTGGCTCAGGCCCCATGAGATCATGCCAACCTCCCCCAAGGAATCCAGTCAGCAGTTCGTGGCAGAAGAGGAACATTGGTATTTCGCAATCATTTGTGCAAATATCTTATTCCCAGTGGAGACAGTTCTGGGATATAAAGACTGGCAGCTTTGAGTGTCCAGCACTGACAGCCTATCCGCTGGTGATACACAATGTTGAAGGCTATAGCCTTCATTCCGTGGCAGTATCTGCCAACACTTTTTCGGATAATGATAGTTTATTATCCTATTCTTGCAGCTATTGGTATTGCAGGTAATTAGTTAGATACAAATTTTACTTGTATCCCGATGTACCACAAGTTTGCGCATGGCACACACATCTACTTCTACTTCTCCAGCTGTGACTTCTGTTCCGCTGATGTCTTTTTTGATGTCTCTATAAAGATAAGATATTGTCGTTTGCTGAACCCTCTCCACTCTCGCTGTGAGACTGATAGTGTGTCTCTTCTTCTTTGAGGGTCTGCTCGTTACTACGTGTGTTACAATGGTGACCGTAGGTACAGTCCTAAAAGAATATCTTTCGGTCTGATCTGACGGTCGCTCAAAAGGGTGTGAGTTGGAGACATTGAGCCTCCAGTGTTTCAGGACACATTGGCTGTAAGAATGTCTGGCGGTGAGGAAGGATTGATCAGATGAGCGAGCCAATTCTGTCAGTAGGTTGAGAGACAGAGGTATGCCAGTGCAGGGAATGGTTTGCAAATATTTTGAGTATCTTTATATCAATGTGTTTTCTGGAAAGGAGGCAGGGAATCCTGGCGAGGACTGGAGTGATGGAAGTGCGGAGATTGTGTGAGAGTGGACATGTTTGGAATTGTTTTCAATGAGTTGGATGTTGTGAATGGAGGGGTTGGGGTGACCAGTGTGAAAAATAGAGAATCTGGAAATTTTCGATGTCTTACTATAAATAGCTCGATTGAGCCCTCTATTTCTTTTGACGTTACTGCGAATTATGCTGTGCGTGAGGTGAATTCTTTTCACATTTATACAGTGGAATTTTTAACGCCATCTTCAATTAGTGGAAGTGAATACTCGGATTTATGTTCTCATCCGCAGGAACACATGCTGATACTAAATAAGGTCCACATCTTTAAGATTATATTCAATGCATATACTTGACAATGTCCTGTCAGATGCTAACATGATTGTAACCAGAGAAGCGCAATAAATATTTGTGGATACACACTTTATTTGGTGTATACATGGCCAGGAAATGTGGATATAGTTCATTCTATTTTCTGGTAGTGTCACAGGAGATCTTTCATGTCCAACAGAACAGGCGACAGACAGGGAATTCGGTAGAACTTCTTACATGTTACCGGTTATTTTCGTCTGTAGTTCATTGGTTAAATAATATCTGCAGCTCAGTGGTTACCGAAGTCGCCTGTCAAGCGAGATACCTGTGTTTGATCATTTCAATATTCCTTATTAATGCCTTGAATTTTTTTTTAATGTACCCATCAATCCATGAGTATTGATGGGAAACAGCTGCGTGAATGCTCTTCGAGCAAAATACCATCAACTTACGCAGCGCACAGGTAAATATGTTTGTTTGCTGTTCCATTTTCTCACAGCGAATCTGTTGGCCATTGTGGTCCTGTCCCGGGGAAAGTGTGGGCTCTCAAAATGTATTACCCTCTACATGGTGGCCATGGCAGTGGCCGATCTCCTGTTCGCCATCAACGAAGTGGTTTTGAACAAGATACATTCTCTTTATTTCAATCACACATTTCTGGACATCACTCCCGTGTGTTCACTCAGATTGGTGCTGATGTCGGCGGTGACACACATGTCAGTCTGGTTCACAGTGGCTTTCACCTTTGATCGCCTGGTCGCCATCTGTTGGGTGAAACTGAAAACAAGTTATTGCACCGAGAGAACAGCAGCCGTGGTTGTAGGAGTGATTTCTTCTCTGAGCTGTTTCATCAGCATTCCCTGGTACTTTATGTATGAGCCCAGAGAGATACTGAACAAAGTGCCTTGGTTTTGCAAGGTCAAATCGGTTTACTACACCTCTCCCACATGGATTGTATTTCACTGGTTTGACACTATAATAACTCCGTTTGTTCCATTCTTTCTGATTTGCTGATGAACGTGGCTGACAGTCAGTCACATTTTAGCGGCCAACAGAATCCGCAGAAACCTCCTGCACCAGAAAAGTAATAGTGGCAATGATGCAGAGATGGAGAACCGAAGAAAATCCATCATCTTACTGTTCGCCATATCAGGCAGCTTCATCCTGTTGTGGCTAATGTATGTTTTACATTTCATATTATTGCGAACGTTAAACAGTTATTTCTATCAAAGTTACAGAGACCCAGTATTTGTTGTCGAACAAGTGACAGACATTCTTAAAGTTTTGAGTTGCTGCACAAACACCGTCATTTATGCTTCTACACAGTCTAAGTTCAGAGCGGATGTCAAATATCTCGTGATCTATCCGTTTAAACACATATTTAAACTATGTAAATAAAAGGAAACGTTTGTCACTTGGTGTAATTTGTGAAACGCTGACAATGAAACATAATGCATTGAGGTAATTGATCGCTTGGCATTCATTTCAAGCGGTTTGGAGCAATAGTAATAATCTACGCGATTGACAAAAAGCATTACCACGGCATCTGAAAGCGTTTGAAAGAATATACTGTCAATAAGGTTCCAATTAATGGATGAATGGGGATCAATGACCTTTAAGCCTCCTTATTGCTCCGCGACGGTCCCTCTATGTTCTTTAATACTATTACTGTTATCACTTTAATCCAGATTCCTTTGAAACTACGCCCACTCGATGTCAACAAGTAGCAGTTACTTGCTGCTGTTTAACCAGAAAATTATTTTAAACATAAACTTATCACGAGCTCAAACGTGAATAAAATACTAATGAATAGATTAATCAAATAGGTGTTGATTAGGCAAGTTGAATTAACGGCCAAAATCCTATGTTAGGAAGGTTAGAAATGCAACAGAGAGAGGAAAGATACGTGGATCAGTGTGAAGTGAGCAACAGTCTGATCGTTTATGTCGAATTATTGGGTGAGGAAAGAATCGACGTTGTTTCTAATACATAAGAATTCAATCGTATATTGCTCTTTGATTAATTTTCAATGAAGAAAATCAAGTGTACTCTTGAGTTTGATATTTATTAGTCATTGAGAGAGGCTTCGAGAATTGAGTCGAATTATGAGGTTGATAAACACCGGAATTTTATTTTGTAAAATGCTTGTACGAGTAGCTGAAGTATCCACAGTTTCCGTTCTGTCTTTCGTTATTTGCTGAGTTAATAATAATAATAATAATAATCCTTGCATTTGATATCGCGCTTTTCATGTCAGGGGGACATCCCAAAGCGCTTCACAGAACACACTGTAAAGTGAATTGACTGTATATTTTATCAGCCAATAAATAAATCACCAGATTTGAACAAAGCCACTGTGTCATATTGCATTCTCTTGTTACTCTAAAGATCGGCAGTTCAATTCGAGTCTGTAAGTATGTTGACCCCAGCAATGCTGGAGATTGGTATTGCTGTTATCATCCTCGAGGCAATCACTCTCTGCAGATGGAGGAGTTGGCGGTGGCTAAGGATGCGATTGATGAGAGAAATGCTCGCCTTCCTGACACACTGCAGCAATGGCCGGCATCTAGACTGATAAAATCACCATCGGACCAGATATGGCCCGCGGGCCGCCATTTAGACACCATTGGCGGTTGTACAGTATCGAGACACTTCATTGTGCAGGCTGTGAATTTGCAGTGAAGGGAGTGTCCAATTTTAAGTTGGTGTGTTGTCAACCAGGACTCCGGGAGAAACTCACTTGTACTTTTGTGTCCTGTGGTTGTACAGAATTATGTAAACTATTTTGTATATTCAGACTCACACACAAACAAACGCACGAACACCCCAACGCTGAAACACACACACACATACAGAATGATACCCACAAACACAGAGATATACACACTGGCATATAAACGCAAATACGCAAACGCACACCGACACACAACCATATTAATATATATAATATTAATTGACAAATATATAGTCAATTCACTCTACAGTGTGTTCTCTGAAGCGCTTTGGGACGTCCTCCTGATGTGAAAAGCGCTATATCAAATGCAAGGATTATTATTATTATTATTATTAACACAGACACACAGAAACGCATATGCACACACACACAATCGCACAGACGAAATCGAAGTCAAACAGCAGAACACAACACAAATTTTAATTTGTGCAGAGGCCTCCATGCCAGACGATGCCTCAGACACAGATATGAAGACAGAGAGAGAGAAAAACGGAGAAACACTGTATAGTTTGAGACCCCACATGCGAAACGACTGCGAAGATGGCGGAAAGTGAACCTGGTGGACCGTCCTCCTTGTTTGCCAAACAAATTCCTGTATTATTGTGTTCGGATCCAAGGCTGGTGGGAACTACATACAAAATCAGTTAATGTCTGTTGGTATTGCTTCTCATGACTGTTGGTGCACAGATGCTCAACGGCTTGGAATTTGTTCCGCCATCAAGTAAACAGGGACTAAAATAAGGAAAAAGTTTCTTCCTGAAACTGTGGTTGGAAGTGTGGAGATGAGATATGTTATAGGTGTCGCAAAATGTCACCCGCCACCACTCATAGACCAGGTAGAACCCCAGTTTCCCGAGATTCTCTCTCAGGGTCAGGCGGGTACCAGGTGAGGTCACTTTCTTATTGATCCCCGTTTCTCAGCCCGTATTCGAGAGTGAATCTTGTTCTTAACTGTCGGAAAACGAGAAGGAGCTCTACCTTATCTTAGTTCAAAATCACCAAGACACAGCTTTGCCCTGGCATCAAACCGTACGTCTAAAGATGACTTCAGCGAATGAAGGACATAACATCAATGTACTTTTTACTCTTTGAAGCAATATTTTGGAAGCTAAGCACGACAATCCGTCCAAGAGAATGGTTACGTCTTCAACACAAAATTAAATAATCTGTCTTTGAATTTGGGCGGTCGAAGCAAATTGCTTACCATACTAACAATATCAAGCTGGGGGTTAGAACTGATTGGGGTGAGAAACGGAAAGATTCATAGATTCGTAGATGATAAGAATGTTACGGTACAGAAGGAGGCCATTGCCCATTCCAAAATCCCAGGAAACAGCTTTTCCTTATCACGGTCCTGTTCGAAACTTTC